GGGGCGGGGAGCGGGGGGGGGGGTGTGAGGATGGGGGTTGGTATGGGCAGAGGGCGGTGTTTGCGGGGGGTGACGGGGTAGAGGGGTGGACCTCCTGGGGGGGGGAGGTTATCACGTACGGTTTCCGATCAACGAGGCCCACCATCCCCAAGCCCCCGACGCGCGAGCGCGAGCCGCGGGGTCGCGTTCAATTTTTTTGCGCCATGTGGCGTGTAGCGCGTTTGAACACGATTCAATGCTGCCCCGGCCTGTATGAACATGCGCGTTTGATGCGTTCACACAATTACACAGCCCAGTAGGGACTATCTATAGGGAAAGAAAGTGCTACAGGCTAGGAACTGAAATGGACATATTCCCTCTATCTGGAAAGCATCCTATCCCCCGAACCTGGAGCAAAAGCATATCTTGCCCTCTCTATAGCCAAAGACTGTCCTCCAAACTAGGAACTGAAATGACCATAATCCCAAAAAACAATGCACTGAGACGATGCATCTAAGGGATGCTGGACCGGTTTCCAACAGGTGTCGCTCCCCACCAATAGATGAAGCAGGCCGACAAGAAAAACCTCAATTCCGACGGTTCTCTTACCACCACCGGGATAGACACCTTGCAGAAGGGGCTCCTCAGTAAACCACCAGTACCTCGCGCAACTTGAAAAAGTCGGTGCGGCTGTTAACGCGCCGTGTCGGCCGGGGTACCCACCAACGTGCTACCGGTAGTCCCAAAAAAGGCAAAAATATATATATATATATATATAAAAAAGGACGAAAATGAAAAGCAACGAACGAAAAAGAAACGGGCGCAGCGGAGGGTAAGGGGAGGGAGAAAGAGAGAGTGAGAGAGAGAGAGGGCGTCAGAGAGTGTCTCACGCCTCTCTCTCTCTCTCTCTCTCAACGGATGTTGAAATGAGAATGAATCTTCAACTTTATTGCGGAAGATTCATTCTCATTTGAACGTTGGTTGAGAGAGAGAGAGAGAGAGAGAGAGAGAGAGAGAGAGAGAGAGAGAGAATAAAGAATAAAGATGGAGCACAAAGTACCAAAATGCAAAGAACAGAACACTAAGACACCGAAATCCCGAATCATCCCGAACTTCATAACTCATGACAACACAGGTACGCTTCACGCCCCTACGCGTTTCGTCGCCCGCGTACTTGGCGAACTCATCAGGAGGTTCTTTTCGACTCGGGATACATGTAAGTGGAATCTCGTGGGCTTATATAGTCTCCGTGCGCCTATCCCCTATCGCATGAACCTCTCATCCTATTCCTCTATCCTGCCAAAGATCTAAGTTGTTAACGCCTCGCTCCTTTCCCTTCACCCATGCGGATGTGCCTTCTCCCCCCATCTCCTCTTTCATTGTTTTCAACTTCGATATCCGTTCTTCCCCTGGCCTCGCTCCGATCAAACTCTCCACCTTCTCAATCCGACTCCGATTAACCCGGTGCGTATGACTTTATTTCTCCTCCCTTCAAAACTTACTAAATCCAACCTCGCCTACTCACCTCCATCACCCAACGCATCCTTGCCCCTTTCCTACTTCTATGGCATCTGGTATGTTGACATCCCGCCTCGCCTGCCCGTAACGCACAAAAAACCTCGCCATCCATAGGTACATTGCGCCTACTGCCCTGCTCCCCAACCTCTCGCTTCGTCTTACTCGATTCCTCTATATTTCTACTAATTTCCCCGCTCTCGAGTATTGGCGTCACCCATTACCCCACCTCTGCCTCTTCTTCCTCAGAACTCGTGCCTTGCTTCAAGAGTCTGAGATTTTCCACGAAGTCCGGACGAAATTCTTACTTGTTTTAGTTCACCGAAAAAATGGCCGACCGCGTTTTCCACATCTATTGGCACCAACCTTAGTAAAGATTTTCCCGACTTCCCCACCGAGATCATTTTGAAAACCGCTCATGAAACCACAGGGACGGCATGCGCAAAAAAACCAAAAAAGAAATTTCAGAAAAGAAAGAAAAAATAAAACAGGAAAATTCAAAATCGGGCCCCACGCCAAGCCCCGGAAATGTATTTATCTTAGACATACAACTCGGCATATTACTCCTAGTATCCCTTTCTGCTACCAAAATTTTCCCCGGCTCCACTACCCGTCTATGTTTGCAACGGTTATCCCTTTCCCTACTTATGATACAACATGGATTCCTTTTACACCCCTCTCGGACGCAGGAATTTTGTCAGTCCGGGGTACTCGTTAGGGAGGTAAACTCCCCACGGACCGCCGGACATCCTTGCAAACTTAGCAAGGGCCCCGAGAGAGACCTCCGGGGGGTAGCCCCGGAGGCGAGTTTCCATCATCAAAGCTGCGATTGCTGCCTTCATGCCGTCCTCTGACGTAGATAGTCGGTTCATCCTGATCAATGATGCATATATCGTAGCTTTTTTTGCTGCTTTCTTAGTGAACGAAGCATAGTCATGCAAAGACTGTACCTTCAGGGTCCCATCTTCCAAGAGACTCAGCTGGTTCCTCGTTCGAGGAATAACGCGGATTACAACCGGCTCCATTTCTACGATGATTCGATTTCCCAAGAAATCGAACGCGTTGCCTCCCTCATCTTTGCGAACCAATGACAAATTCACATCGTAGCTGCGTTCAAATTCATCGAAGACCTGGTCCGTTCTATGGATCGACTGAGGGTCCCTCCGTACGTACCCAACCAAAACCATCACATCGTCAATCATCCTCAACCCTCTCACCATATTCCCCTTAGCACGGTTTCGATTTATAAACGCAAACTCCGCCTTAGCACATACCAGACAGGCAAGTGCAGGGCTGGAGTTCCTCCCCATCGGAATCCCAAAAATCTCTGACAAAATCTTCCCCGCACATCTGACATAGGAATTAGATAGCTCGAACTCCACCTCCTTCCTTACTTCCTCAAATGATATTGAAGCGAAACCCTCCTCTTTCCGTACCTTCTTCACCATCGCACAAAGTTTCCCCCTTACGCTCACCTTCACGCCTCGCATGCCCCTCCTCTCATGGTATGCTATCAACCATTCAAGTGCCTCCATAACGCTGGTATGTGATAGCCGAGCGAACATGTCTTTAATATCATAGCTGCGAGCAATCGCCCCATCCCCCCATCCGCTCATATCCTTCTGAGCTTCGCCGCAATGCTTTCCCAGCTCATCCATTGATCGGAGATCAAAATGATCACTCTTGCATATGCCAAAGAGCATGTACCTAATCGCACGTCTCGTTCTGGCTGCCGCTCCTCTCGCAGGATCGAATGAGCATGGAGAGATAGGCCTCCACCTTCCCAAGTCTTTGTCCTTGGGAAGGACATATGCTTGTCCTATCTTCCCTCCAGTCTGCCAACGGGCGATCTTGATCAGCCCCGACTGAAGATAACTCTCCTTCATTGTGCTCAGTACCCGGTCCTCCGACCGATTCACCTCCCGAAAACTGGGATTCTCGTTGAAGGACTCGCGACACGCTCGATGGTACAAAACAGGACACAGCAACAAGGTTGCTCCAGGGTTGCGATCAATCGGAACTGCCACCAGTCCGTCATATCACCTAAACTGCGCTCGAACTTCACAAGTACTCATGGAGCTAGTTCTCGATGCATCCCACTTTCCGTAACATTCCTCAATGTCTTCTCTTGCCGCCTGGATTGTCCTTTGCTTCGCCCATCCTTCGATTGCTTGCCTAATGCATGTTTCCAAAGCGTCCGGACTGACGGCGTCTCCCCAGGTTACGTTCTTCGAGTTCCACATGAATGCGGGCATTCCCCTCACTTTGGAAAGCCGCACCTTGACATGCCCATCACTCCTTGGCAGCTGATGCTCCCGACACACGCATACCACGTCTTCTTTTCTCGCGCATCTCCAGTGATTATGGGTGATCATTCCCACACTTCTTCTCTTCTTTACCACCACTCTTACTCTGCTTGCAACGAAGCGAGCCAAAGTAGGATCCGGTATGGATCGTACTACGAGATCCGCCGTCACCCGGCAGACTACTCCCAGCCGCACTTCAGGCGAAAATGGAACCTCAACGGAGGGTCTTCTCCGAATCCCGCATCCAAACTTCTCCTTCGCTACCCGATTGACAATCGTTTTAATCCTGTTTCTACTTTTCTTTTCCCTGAATAACGACGCCGTCCGGTACAATGCCACTACCTCTCGTGCTGATCTTTTATACAACTCTCGCACCCGCCAGGGTTGCCGGAGTACATCTCTCAGCACGAACTTTCGGTGCTCTAGGTTAGAAGAGAGAATCCGTATTCTCCCTACCCGAAACGTCCTGCCTGTTTCCGAAAAATGCTCACATTCCCTCAATGCTTTCGTGACCCCCTCAATGAAGATCTCGGTCTCACCCACCTTCCTCCGTACCGTTTTCCACTTGTCAGCCCAGATCGTACCCCCGGATGAAGTTATCTCCCAGTTCCCTCCACTCCTTCCCTTCAGTTCTCTAAGCATCTCGATAATGGACGCTCGACCACTGAACTTAATAACTGCCCCTCCTAAAGGACATGACTGCCTCTTCCCTCTCTCCCGTTTCCCTTTCCTCCTTCTTACTCGTTTGCCTTCTCTCCCCATCCCTTGAGTGTTCAAGGTCGGGCAAAACCTTTTAATCAGACCCGCTTCTACTCTAAGCAGATCTCCGACACCCTCTCCCAGCGGAATAACCAGATATTTTCTCCACCCGAGCATTCTTAACCACGAGTGCAACTTCAGCGCGTTTCCAAGATCACCGTAATCAACCTGCTTCACGTGATCCGACCACCTCGTTATCACGGCCCTGGTTGTGCATCCTATGTAGAAATGACGACACCAAGGGCTCACGAGAGCGTATACACCAGGCTTCGTTGTGGACACGTTCTCATAATTCCCGCTTACTAAACCCACCCACTTCCTTGCCCATGGACAGTCGCCCTTTATCACACGAAGAAGAAACATCTGAAAAATCTGGTCCTCAACATCGGCACTCAGTCTCCCTCCCCCTTCTCTCATGTGACCGCCCAGTGCCATCATTTCCCTTTTGAGTACATCCATACTCACCTTCTTCACTTCTCAAACAGATCGGAAATCCGTCCGTTTTCGTTAAACTCGCCGTATGCTAACTTCGCCTGACACTTCATGAGTTCCCCAATCACTGTGTCTCTTTTGGACCATTCGATCCCCTCCCGATTACATATCTTCCGCAACTCCGGAACTTTCTTCTCAGACAGATGCCGATGTAACTCAATCGCAAAATCCAAGATGCTCGGATCTTCTACGCTCGGTCGACGAACCGGAGGTGGAGTCTTGTCCTCGTCATCCTCCACCCTCACTGGGTCCTCACGAATCCCTCTACTTTCTTCCTTGATCTTCGGCCACCTCCCGCCATCATCTCTTGCTTTACCCTTCCCTTTCCTTCTCTCGATCACATCAACCAGCTTCCCGGCTTTCTCCCTCACTTCTTCACTCTCGTCTTCTGATTCATCAAGGTAACTCCTGATTTCCCGAAGAACCCTCGCCTTTGTCCTTGGTGACTTTTTCTTTACCCCCGAACTCTCTCCCTGTTTTCCCGCCTTTGTGTGTTGTGCCAACAATCGGACCAAGCGTGCTTCCAATCTCGCCTCTCGCGCCTCTGCTTCCCTCATCCTCTCCAATTCCTTCTTGTTTTCCTCTTCTTTGCGCCTCCGCTTCCTCCTTTCCTCATCCATCTTTCTCTTCCGAATCTTTTCTCTAAAATACTCCCTCATTTCCTTTGTCTCCTCATCCGCGGCCAACGCCGGTGCTTGTGCCTGCACAGCGGGCGGTCTCCCGTTACCACCTGCCCAACAGTTCCGGGCGTAATGCCCCGCTTTACCACACAAGTAACATGAGACAACTCCGTGGGGGTTATTCCCATTATAGGGTATCCCGTTAGTAACTCCCGCCATCCCGGGAATCCCTTGATTCTGCATTCCCTTAATCTCCTTGCCTCCTATTTGCTCTCCTTTCTAACCGCCTTCTCCTTCTCCTCTTATCCCTTATGATGCACCCAATGCTATAGAATTTTTCCAAGAATTTCTCCAAGATGCACACTAACTCTTCCTTGGTACTCTCATCCCTATACTCTATTGCCATGAAGATCGCCGGAATCACCCTATCTAAAACTAAATTCTCAATCTCCTGCCACTGCCTATTGCACTCTTCCTCTCTAAAGTTCTGATAATTCATCCCCTACGCCCTCCTAAATGCTATCGATATGCGCACTTCGACCAACAGCTCCTCTCCCCGCTGTATCCTCAGGAATTTTCGCCACGCAGAGATTCCACCAACAATTACTATCGGTATCACCACCTTCGCAATTCTCACCACTCTATGCCTCAACATACCCGTAGGACCTCCCGAACGCTCGTATTTGGTGAAACGCTCACGTTCACCTTCTCTCCCTTAAGACGACGTTCTCGGTCGATTCCTACCTCACCCGGTATAGTTCTCCCGGTCGATAAGACGATCACGCTTACCCAGGTCTTCGGACGCAAATAGGAACTTGAAAACGATCACGTACAAGCGCTTGCTGCCCCGAGCTCAAACACCGTGCCAAATCATCGGCAGACCACCGTAGCCACCGCGCCAAGTTAAAAAACCACCGGTTACCACGTTAATGGAGAATTAAAGATGGAGCACAAAGTAGCGGAATGCAAATAAGATAACACTCTGACACCGAAATCCCGAATCATCCCGAACTTCATAACTCATGACAACACAGGTACGCTTCACGCCCCTACGCGTTTTGTCGCCCACGTACTTGGCGAACTCATCAGGAGGCTCTCTTCGAATCGGGATACATGTAAGTGGAATCTTGTGGGCTTATATAGTCTCCATGCGCCTATCCCCTATCGCATGAACCTCTCATCCTATTCCTCTATCCTGCCAAAGATCGAAGTTGCTAACGCCTCGCTCCTTTCCCTTCACCCATGCGCATGTGCCTTCTCCCCATCTCCTCTTTCATTGTTTTCAACTTCGATATCCGTTCTTCCCCTGGCCTCGCTCCGATCAAACTCTCCACCTTCTCAATCCGACTCCGAT